AGAAATTTCCTGAAGTTTTCAAATCTTATTTCACTATGTTCTTAAAAAGTTTTAAATATATTTTTTTCCCAAATAAATAGAACATGTGCTTCAGTGACTGACACAGAAATGGGTATCAAAAGCATGGATAACAGCCAGGTGTGGTGGTGCACCCCTGTAATTCCAGCAGCTTGGGAGGCTGAGGCAGGAGGATCGCAAGTTCAAAGTCAGCCTCAGCAAAAGCAAGGCGCTAAGCAACTCAGTGAGACCCAGTCTATAAATAAAATACAAAATAGGGCTGGGGATGTGGCTCAGTGGTTGAGTGCCCCTGAGTTCAATCTCTAGGACCAAAACAACAACAACAACAAGAAGAACAAAAAACCCACAGATAACAAGGCTAGCACACATAAGGTACTGGGTTCAATCCCTAGCACTGGAGCAGGGAGGGGGAAGGAAGGAAGGAAGGACGGAAAAGCAAAAGGACAAATGAGATTTTAAAACTTCTGCATATCAAAGAAAACCATCAATAGAGTGAAAATACAATCTACTAAATTGGAAAAATATTTGCAAATCATCAAAATCTGTTAAGGTGTTAATATCCAGAATATATGTTTTAAAAATAAACAAGAAAACCCCTAAATAACTCAAAATATGATCAAAAGACTTGAATAGACATTTTTTAAAGAAGATATACAAATGGCCAATAAGCATATGAAAAGAGCACTCATCATCAGAGAAATACAAATCAAAACCACAATGAATTATCACCTCAAACTCATTAGGACAGCTACTGTTTTTTTTTTTTTTTAAAAAAAAACCTAGTAATGAGTTGGTAAGAATGGAGAAAAATTGGAACCCTGTGTACTGTTGATCAGAATGTAAAATGGTAAAACTGCTATGCAAAATAGCATGAAGAGTCCTCAAAAAAGTGACAGCCAGATTAATTCAACAGCTAAAATTCCCTCCTTTCCCCACCTGTGGCTACCACCACCTCCTTCCCAAATGGGTCTCAGAATATGTAAAAATTTTGTAGATGGTACTGACAGCATTTCAAATCATCTGGAAAAGAAAGGACTATTTACTGAATGGTTGCAGAGCAAGGGTATAATACTAAGTAAAGAAAAGTAGACTTCTGTGTCTCATTAAAGACCAAAATAAATTCCAGCTAGATCAAAAAGTCTTTAGTGTAAAACTGTGAAACCATATGATTTAAGAAAAAGGCTTAGGTGTGTGATTTTGGAGTAGAAAAATGTTTTCTTCTTAAGCATAAAGCAAACAAAAAAATTAGGGGGAAAATTGACATATTTAACCACGCAAAAATTAAAGAATATTGTGTTTGGACTTTAAAGCAGGTGGGCCATTTTGATCTGGTAATTAGACTTATAGAAATTCATCCTAAACAGAATCAGAGGCACATAGCAAACACTTGTGCAGAAAGATGTTAACTGACACATTTCCCATGATAATGAAACTTTCCAAACATTCTAAATGTTTCATAATAAAAACTTAAAATGGTTAGTTCTCTGTTCCAAAATCATGCTGGGCAAATTAAGAAGTAGCAATAAAAGCATAATTAGAAATATAACTATGAATATAATTGGCCAAAGTTGTAAGTGATTGCTCAGGAAAATAAGAATGAGACCTCAGGTGAGGCTTTCTTTTTTTGTACTTTTATATCTTCAAATATAATCTGATCTTCAGCTAATTGTATGCATTACTTCTGTATCAGAAAAAAAAAAACATAAGCATAAAATTGTACAAACAGGATTCTACCTTAAAAAAAAAATCATTAGAATACAAAGGCCTAGAAAAAGAGAACATCCAGGACTGAGGCTGTGGCTCAGTGGTAGAGCGCTTCCCTAGCACATGTGAGGCACTAGGTTCAATCCTCAGCACCACATAAAAATAAATAAATGGTTAAAAAAAAAAAAGAAGAAGAAGAAGAAGAACATCCAAGTACTGATTATAATTTTTCACTATTTGGATATTTATTATCTTGGCATCTTTTTGTACCTTGAATTTTCAAAATGAATAGGAAGTTCTTTTATAATCAGAAGAACATGCTATTGGTACTGGGGATTGAACCCAGGTATACTCTACCACTGAGCTACATCCCAAGACCTTTTTTTAAAATTTTTTTGGTACCTGGGATTGAACCCAGGGATGTTTAGCCACTGAACCACATCCCCAGCCATTTTTTTAAAACTTTGAGACAGGGCCTCATTAAGTTGCTGAGGCTGTCTTTGAACTTGTGATCTTCCTGCCTCAGTCTCCCAAGCTGCCCTGTTTATTTTTTATTTTCAGAGAGTCTGATGTTGCCAGGATGGCCTTAAACTTTCAATCCTCCTGTCTCAGCTTCCTTCCTGAGTTACTGGGATTACAGGCATGTTTCAATGTTCCCTGCAGAAAAAATATTAAAAATGAAATATGCTATCATAAAGAGTATGCTTTCTAATTCAATGAATTTTCATTATTTTATGTCATCATGTCCATCTTTTTATTCCCAAAAATGAACATTGCAGGTACTATAATTGAACCTTTCTTGACATTTGCCAACAACAGAACAATACCCAATAGAACATCAAATCATTAATGATCAGCTGATTATGTGCTATTAGTCTAGATATCAATTCTAATAGAGGGGAAGCCTTCAGAGTTATTACTGAACCAACCAAATATTAAATTAGATTGAAGACTTCTATTCAGCCAGGCGTGGTGGTGTATACCTGTAATCCCAGCAGCTCAGGAGGCTGAGGTAGGAGGATCACGAGTTCAAAGCCAGCCTCAGCAACTTAGGGAGGCCCCCAGCAACTCAGCAAGGCTGTATCTCTAAATTAATATATATATATATATATATATATATATATATATATATATATATATGGCAGGGGATGTGGCTCAGTGGTTAAGCACCCCTGGGTTCAATTCTTGGCACCAAAAAAAAAAAAAAGAAGACAAAATTCTATTCAGTTGTAAGTTTACATCATACAGGCTTCTCATTTCAGTGTAGATTTTAGGCATCAAATATGTAGATGTGCTAAAGATTTCCTCCTGTACAGAAGTGAATGTGGGCACTACTGACTGAAGGTCAGACCAGAGCTAGGGTTGCCCAAGAAACAGTAAACCCAAGACCAGAAACACATAGCTGGTGAGAATTTAAGACAGCTCTTTCTTGGTCCTCTCAACACAACTGCCTTAGGCAATGAACCAAAATGATGGCCAAGGTGGAAGAAATGTTTCACAACTCTCTCCTGCTGGTAAACGACCAAAACCAAAAATATGCAAGACTCACACACCAACACCCATAATTCTGGGAAGTTGGCCATCATGAGTCACGAGCTTTTCACGGACCCTTCTTCTGCATACATTCCATTCCATTCCTTCTTCTGGCCTAGGCTGTCCAGCTGTTGGCTATTTCTGACATTTTCTTCAAGGATGCCTTTGAAGCTCATTTTAACTCATCTAGTCAGAATTTAAATGTTCTAAAGGGAGGGAAGATAAGTAGTGGGCTCTGCCTCATCCTGAGACTCTACTCCCCACTCCACTTCCTTCAGAAGAGCCCAAGAATGAGAGGTCTGTGAGGGTCCATTTATTTTGACAGCAGGATCAGTGGTTCCAAAGTGTAGCCCTTGGGCCAGAAGCACCAGCACTACCTGGCTACTTACTGGTACTGCTAACTGAGCCACACCTCAGACCACTTGAATCAGACAGTGGGGGTGGGGCTGTAACCTGTTTAACAAGCTCCCGGTGATTGTGATACTACTTAAGTTGCAGAACCACAGGTCTGGAAGAATAAGGGGGAACAAAAAGCCATAATATAATAAGCCTGGGAGATTATGTACAAGCAGAGATGAAGCCTACCCTTGCTAGGCTCTTAGCTCTTGCTCGTTTCTTTTAAATGTCAAGGACCTTGTTCTATGGTTACTGCCTTCCATGGTCTCCCCCACAAAACTGGTATGTTAGAAGCAGGGACTAATGAAGCTGAGCACAGCACAGGATGAATGAGTGCTTAAATTGGAACCAATGGAGTCTTTTGGTGTTCCCAGCACCAACATCCACCCCTCAAAAAAAAAACCTCTTTATAGATTTCCCCTTTAGCAAATCAAACTGCTTACCTCTTTGTGTAGTTCTCATACACCTTCCCAAACACTATCCCTCGATGGGGTTGCCTTGGTGTCTGTATTTTGCTGTTAGTTATATACCTCTATTATTTGGGTTGAACTTTTGGGAAGCTTAAATTACTCTATTACATATATATTTATCTGGTATGTAGCTTTCAGAATTCTTTAACTTAAAGATGAAGCTTCTATATGACACTCATCTCCAACATTTACTGTCATACTGTAGATCTTACAATACTGTTGATCACTTAGGAAACCAGTATCAACCAAGCTGATCCAGAGGCCCAAATCAATGGGCATTTTTTAGTAAATTACTAACAAATAGAGAAGCTCTCTTTCTATTGAGATTGCCCATTATAAAATACCCACTTGGAGCTTCTGAGTGTCATTATGGAGAGAGGGTCCACTAGAGGCTAAAACCCGTTGGTGGAAAGAGGGAGAGTCAGAGAGGCAAAGTGCTACAGCATCAGGCTGTGATGTGAGCTGGAAGAAACCTTTATTGGTTAAACCACTAGGACTTTGAACTTGTAGCCATAAGGAAAGTCTGTGAATGTACCCCAAATCTATGAAGTAACACTCTTCATCATAACCCCCTGCTTAGTGGTCTGAGAACCTGGGGTCTTGAACCCCACCTATGTTTCTACACTAGAAAATAGCTAAGTGCCAGGCATGGTGGTGCACACCTGTAACCCCAGCTACTCTGGACGCTGAGGGATAGTGAGACCCTGCTTCAAAAAGGGCCCGGGATGTAGGTTAGTGATAGAGTGCCCTGTGTTCAATCCCCAGTCTCTGTGTCTGTCTCTCTCTCTCTCTCTCACACACACACACACACACACACCCACAGAATCAAAGACACACTTTTTGAAAGTGTATTAATTAAAAAAAAACTACAAATAGTAATTATTATAAAATATAATTTAATTTCACTATTATTTACCACAAAATTTTAAAAATATCAATATACAGACAAGAGCAAGTGAACTGGAGAGAGCTAAAAACTGTATAAAAGGCAAATCTACACTTGAGAACATATATGAGCATCGGGTTCAGAGAGCCTACCCCAGACTGGACGGGTTTGCTAAGGTCAGTTCTCACTAGCAGCACATCTGGGAAGCTCCCTACACCAAAGTTCTTATATTATGTGAGAAGGCGCCCCCCAGACCTCCCTTGGAAAGCATTTCTCATCAACCAACCCACACCGGAGAAGCTGACTCATTCTAGGCACAGAAATCTTAAATAATGTCTCTCACAGGCCCCAGGGAGCTTGGGAAAATTAATGTCATCAAAACATAGCACTGTGAGAAAGGAAAGGTGGCACCTAGTGGCCACTTAGCTGTTTTTCTTTATGGCTTCTTGACAATGCTGTCAACCCTGCTCTGCCCTGAACAGTGTTGGGCAAATCTGAGTCTCTTAATTCCAGAGCTCAGCGATGACCTACCTGAATGGCAAGCACAGCTCTAAAGCAGGATCTGAAACAGAAACCACCAAACACAGTCTGGTAACTAGGCATGGGATAGTCCACATACTGGTGCCCCAGACTCCCTCCACAGAACGGGACTCAAGAACAGAAGTTAATTTATAGGAGACAAAAGTAATATGGCCTTTTCTGTTGTCACTGTAGATACACACTTCCCTTCAATTTCATTATTCACTAATATTCTCCACTCAGTATTTTCCTATTTCCCAAAGGATTTTCAAATTCAGTGACAACCAGATGGTGTCAACCTATAACTCAAATTTTATTTGACTGTAGGCTACCATCATGTAGTAAAATGTCTGATCAAATTTTTAAATCTGGCACATGACTAGAGGCTCAGTTACTTGTACTTAATCAAGGATCAATAAATCAGGTTGACTGTTTAACAGTAGGCAAATAGACATTAACACTAGTGGTCTGAAAAAGATCAATAAATATCTTTCAAACAGTATTTAGAGGTAAATATCATCCTGATGGTGTGAACTTTGGTCTACTTTAATAATATCCACTTGATGAAATGATCTAGAGCAGCACTGTCCAAAAGAAAGAATGAGAGCCACATGTGTGATTTAAAATTTTTTAGTAGCCACATTAAAGTAAAAAGATACAAGTAAAATTGTAATGTTTTGCTTAATTCAGTATATCCAAAATAACATTTGAATATGTAATCATTATAAAATTAACATGCTATTTTACATTCACATACTAAGTCTGACATGCTGCAGCCCCAGCATGTTTTACAATACAAATTTTATAATTTGTATTGTAAAATACAAATCTGGTTTGTATTTTACTTTGATAACACCTCTCAGTTTGTAACAGCCACGTTGCAAGTGTTCAATGCCACATGTGGCAAGTGGCTACAGTAAAGGACAGTCCAGTTCTAGGTCTACCCCAGTGCTTAAGTTCTGGATTAGAATCAGAGTCACAGCTGGGAGTAAACTCAGAAAGCAAACTTTTTTTTTTTTTTTTAAATAAGTGAGGAAACTGAGGCACAGAGTTTTAAATGGCTACAGAGGGACTCTGGCTACATAGTCCCTGGCTACACAGGGACTCTTCCCACTCTGATATGATGTTACAGAATCAGAGGCTGTGTGCCTCTGATTCTGTTTAGGATGAATTTCTATAAGTCTAATTACCAGATCAAAATGGCCCACCTGCTTTAAAGTCCAAACACAATATTCTTTAATTTTTGCATGGTTAAATATGTCAATTTTCCCCCTAATTTTTTTGTTTGCTTTATGCTTAAGAAGAAAACATTTTTCTACTCCAAAATCTGAGGTAACTCTCAGAGTTAAGAAAAAAATTACTGTCTTTGATATTTTCATGCAATTTATAGATGTGTTATTTCTCACCAAAATTCAAGATGTTAACTTATAGGAGACAATAGTAATATGCATAATTCATACAAATATTTTAGTCCTAATTGAATGAATTTTGGAGAATACACTAAAGTTGGGAGAACCACAGTACCATATAAAGCATGGATTGGCTGGATTCTGGGTCCAGGACAAGAGAATCTGCGGAAAAAATTAGAGTGGGCTAAAAAAAAAATAAATAAATAAAATTTAAAAATGTATATGCCCAGAGCATTCCAAGGGCTACCTGCCTGTTGGCCTATGGAATAACCCCTTCTTTTGCAATAAAAAACTCCTGCTGTTCAAGGCATCAAGGGCTGCATCCAGAATCTCTGCCCCTCGAATCATGAGGGTTTGCCCCTCCTATTTTTGAGGCCATCCCATAGTGATGATATAACCTACCACCAGGAACCTGCAATGGTGCAGTTCCCTAAAAACAGCTCTGTTGGTGGGCAGGCAGAGGGGCCCATGTGATCTTTCATGCTTCTTTCAACTTAGCTGTAGTGCTGGGGCTGCAGCACATCAACCCTCCCTCACCTTGAAGGGTTTCTTTGGCGTGTTATAAACCTGGATGTCTCTCAAGGCCTCAAATGTCAGCCCAAGAAGGGTGCTGACCCCTGATGTTGCTGGAACACGGTATGCGCTCAAGAGCACAATGTGCCAGTACATCCTCAACTACACTTGAAAGAAACATTTGCTTTGGGTGATTGCCTGTTGGTATGTCTGTCATTAACACATCTGATGAAAATTCTCATTTATCACTTACGGCCTCCAGAAATATCATGAAGGTCAAAGTAATACATTGCTTTTGTGAGGGGCTCAGAGGGAAATTTGCTGGAAGGGTGTAGCACCATATGGAGAAAAGTGGATTTGAACCCTTCATTGGGGCCTGAGGACTTCCCTCTTAGTTTTCCAGCCTATCCTTCTTTTGTTTGTAAAATACAAAAAAAAAAAAAAAAAGACATAGGAACTCATTTGGTAATCTGTAAAGAGATATTAAAACACAGGTATTTATAAAAGTATGATTCCCAAGAAGGTAGGTATATAGAATTTTAATTAATCTTAGTTCTTATACTCAATTTGAGCTACTTCTGGATTAATTACTATTTAAAATAATGCTTTCCAAAATTTTAATTGTAACTAGAAAATTGGTTTTAAAATGCATTCTCATTGCCTTGATTAAAAAAATGTACTGAATATTTACTTCATTACTTTTTCCTTACAGGCATAACTGAAACTACCTAGAAAACTACAACTATTTCCTGGATCAATTAGTCATTTAGCTAGTGAGGCCATTGCTTTGCAAATATGTATAAAGAAACTAGCTTATACATATTAAACACTTTAAAATCCATGAATTTAATGTATGACTTTACCCAGGACATTTTTTTGGGGGGGGTACCAAGTATTTAACTCAGGGGCACTCAACCACTGAGCCACATCCCCCACCCTATTTTGTATTTTATTTAGAGACAGGGTCTCACTGAGTTGCTTAGTGCCTCGCTTTTGCGGAGGTTGGCTTTGAACTCTCAATCCTCCTGTCTCAGCCTCCCAAACCAGTGGATTACAAGAGTGTGCCACTGTGCCCAGCCCTTTACCCAGGACACTTAATCTGCCTGGACCTATTTCTTCCTAACCATGTTTCAACAGCAAAAGTCTATTCTATCTGTAATGAAAATCTTGAGTGTTTATATTAAGAGCTAGTTTTGTTAATCAACAAGATCTAGGACCGAAGATTCTTCCTTTTCTGTAAACAAAGTTGAAACTGTTTTTTTGGATTTTTTCTGTTTTAAATAAGAAGTCATCTCACTTAAAATTCATCTGAAAGTGCTTGGCTGAGCATAAATATCCTGGCTGTGTTCTTGCCAAATTCTACAAAGATTGATTATAGTATTCATCAAGATTATGATTACAAGTTGCACTGTCCCTTTAAGCGTACAAGCACTCCCTGTTTTCTTAGAACGAATGCCCTATCCTCAATTAAGGAAATGCTCAAGAAATGGAAATGTTCCAAATTACACAAACCTATATCACAAATCTGTGGTAAATAAATCTTAGACACAGGAAAATGTCCACATTAAATTTTCCAAACTCAAAACCACATAAAAAAAAATAATAAAGTCAAAACAACATGTATGTGGTGGTATTGGTCAGAAATATTTTAGTTAAAAATACGGCAGCTAGTGGGTTTTAAGCTATTTCATGGCATAAAGGGGGTGATAATAAACTGATCAGTTCTCTTTGGAGGAAAATATATTTTCCAACCTCCCTGTTGAGAGTAAGGTGCAAATCTATAAAAACTGGGAGATCATTAAGAAAACATGAAACCAGTAGTATCCACACAGTACTGAAGAAGAGACAGTGTTTTGTAAATGAAATGCTTGAAAATGTTTCTCATTTTTGGAGACAGAAGTCAAATGCTAGAGTGTCCATTGGATGTCACTGAAGTCCCCAGGGTCTCCTAGGCCCCCCTCTGCTTCTAAGTAATTCATGAAAGCAGCCATGGCTGTGTCCTCATTGTCACACAGGGCATCGAAATCCAGCTGTGCGCTGTCACCTAGTGAATTAAAATACAGGCTTGCATAAGTGAAGGTTACCAAAGTCACACATTTCACAAAATTGGAGGTTGAATCAAAAACGGCAAAGCAAGGCAGAGACGTCATCCAAGGTACTTTCAGAATGTGAAGCATAGGTCTAAAATTGGCAAAACCTGATGTATTTTTAAATAGGTCACCTATTTTTATAACAATCTGATGTTAGATAAGTTGCATTTGATTCATCCAATGTACAGAAGCTTTGTAATAGGAGATGGTACTGCTAAAGGGAACAGACTCTCAAAGTGTTAGGGCCTTGGGTGTACGTGCCTGTAAGGACAAATTTAACTTTCATCTGCCTTGAGAAAGATTTCCATTTGTTTAAGGCTAAAAGCAAAGGACTGAGACAAAAGTGTTATCTTTCAAAAAATCTGAAATTTTCTTACAGGTAGGTAACCAGATTTCTAATTGAAAAAGGATATATAGAAGAACCATTCAAATTAGAGATAGAAAGAGGTTCTAGAAATTAAGGGTTAAAACACAGATAAAGATTAACTGGTTTCTGGATATCTTTCTAAGTACAATAGAATTGAAGATGATTTCTATGTGGTTCTCTGTGTGAAGCTGAATCAAATCCCTTGATTCTCTTTAGCCTCAGCTTTCTAGAAAGTGATGTCAGTTATGGGTGTCTGAAAATCTTTGATTCAATTTATTAAAATCTTATACTTCTTTTTGTGATATATATCCTTTAAAAAATTCTTGGTGATTCTTGAATGGATATTTTTTTCCCTACATAGAAATACCTTAGATGTATTTAAATTGCATGTATTCTGGGCTGGGGTTGTGGCTCAGTGGTAGAGTGCTTGCCTAGCATGCACAAGGCACTGGGTTCAATCCTCAGCACCACATAAATGTAAAATAAAGATATTGTGTCCACCTAAAAGCTAAAAAATAAATATAAAAAAATTAAATAAATAAATAAATAAATTGCATGTGTTCAGCAACATCTAAAACTGACTGAAATAACAACTGAATTCTTCACGGCACCTATATTTTAAAATCAAGAGTATGGTTTCTCTATTTAGAATTTGGAATGAGAAAAATCTTAGTTTTAAAACAGTGTGCTTCTTCAGAAGTCTTCTGTGCCTGAAAACAGTGAGTAAGAGGAAGTTTCTGGAAAACTAACGTGGCCGGCTGATGCCAGAGACAACTTACTGAGGAGAGGTTCGTGAGTGCTCTGGCTTTGCCTGGTTGTCTCCAGCTCCCCTGTTTCTGAAGGACTCAGTGAAAACAACTCCTGATTTGACATCTGCAAAACACAGAATAATACATAGTTAGGTTTGCACTTGAGTGAGATAAAAACCCCTTGGCAGTCGGCAGACAGGGACCTGCCACCAGCACCACGGCCCCCTGGCAGCGAGCACTTACTGAGTGCTACAGGGCAAGCACCCCATGGGCATCATTCCATTTCATTTCTCAAATGTGAGGATCTGAAGTCTAAAAATACATTATCTTTCTCAAGGTGTTGAGGCCATGATAATAAACCAAGGCCACTAGGCTCTAAAGCCACCACCTCAAACCACAACGAAAGGTATATGCTATAAGGAAAAATTTTACAAGAAGAAGGCAAAGTTTATGACCACAAATTCTTTGTGTCAAAGTCATCTCAGTTAAAAAAAAATGATGGCAAACCTATACTTCTTGTGAAATTACTGGGCAATAGTACTTTAGAGTGCAGAACAGATTAGAGCAGATCCTTTTACCAAAAAGTTTTAGACTGTTCCATGCAACACAATCTAATATTCAATGTAGCTCACAAATCATTGGTCTGTATTGTTGTATTAGGTTGATGTATTTTATCTACAAAAAGCCTATATAGAGTATGGTACTGGAGATTTTCTTACAATAACTTAAATCTGTTTCCTAGCATATTGCCTCATTTGCTAAATGCATGAACAAATGAATGAACAGGTCAGAAGACTTAGATTCTTACACAAATTCTATATAATATTTATATTTTTAGGTTTTTGTCCCTGGTCATATATAAATTCTTTTCTCTCATATTCTTCTACTACCTAGTTTACATACTTACTTTAGAGCTTTTTGTTATTTGTATCATATTAGAATTATATTGTATTTTCATCTTCTAGTTGAGTACTATGTTTAGTCATTTTTGTATAAGCACCAAGACATTTCAATTAGCTAGTGTATGTTTAATTGAATGAAATAGCAGGGCTGGGACTGTAGCTCAGTGGTAAGCATTTATGAGGCCCTGGATTTGATCCCCAGCACAAAATTTTTTTTTTTCTTATGGCTTATCTTTTTCAAACCACAGGAATACATGTAATCTACCAATTTAGAACCTAACTATAATCACAGCTACCATTAATTGAGCATTTACTATGTGCCAACACTGTTTTAAGAGTTTGTTTTTGTGTTAAACCACTGAATTCTCACATTCCTTCAGGGGATATATTATCATCCCTGCTTTATAAATTAGGAAATCGAGGCACAGAGTTTAAGTAACAAACCCAAGGCTATATAGCAGTAAGTGTCTGAGTCACAGCTTGGACCCAGATGGTATTCTAACAACTTCATCCTTAACCATTATTCTAAACTTTGATGCATCTTAAAAACCATTGAGTGGCAAGAAAGAGTTCATTTTCTTTTACAGGATGGTTTCTTTTCTCAAAAGAAATAATCAAAGAGCAAATTTTATCATTCACTGATTTCGTGAACATTGTCATTTGAGTGTACTTACATTCCTGCACGTGACAGTGTGATTATCTCTCATTGGCTCTGTTGGACTTGAATCATCAAAGGACGAAGACTGTAACCTTTAGAAAGTGACACATAAAACATATGCCTTATTTACATATTTTAAGGAGAAATTTGCATATTTTTGTCTCTGAATACATAAAATACAGCAAGGAACTTGAGGCTGAATGCCATAAAGGTTTTCCCAATCAGTCTGACTTGTTCAGTGCCAGAGTTACTTTTGAAGTGGAGTGCTGAAAGACACAGTAAAAAAAGAAGTCAAGCTCTAGAACAAAGCCTTTGAGTAAACCTGCCACATAATAGTAGAGCAAAAAAACAAAAGGAGAGCAGTGTAAATCAGCTACTTGTGTCAAAAATCAGTCCTCACACTGTCCCTGGTAGTGCATGCCTGTAATCCCAGCAGCTTGGGAGGCTGAGGCAGGAGGATCTCGAGTCCAAAGCCAGCTTCAGCAACTTAGGCCCTAAGCAACTCAGTGATAAAATATTTTTAAAAAGGGCTGGGGATGTGGCTCAGTTATTAAGCATCCCTGAGTTCAATCCCTAGTACAAAACACAAAAAAAATCAGTCCTCATGAAGATTTTATGCCAAAACAGAAAATCAAAGAGTATTAACATTCTATAATCATTTTCAAGTGAGAAATATAATTTTTATCCCAAATAATCCCCAGGCACAGAATCAATGAAACATAGCACAGAGAAGAGAATGGCAAAAACATAACTTTACGTCTTCATGTATTCCTAAGAACGTTGGTAAGAAATTACAGAGGAAGAAACTAAAACAGAAATAAAATGCCTTAGGTCGCAAAACCATGAGAAGGAAAGATTGGGGATGCATCTAGGGGGTTTTCCAAAGGACAGTCCATGCATGCAGCTCAGCCAGCTTTTCATTTTGTGGTTTCATTCCCCCTCACCTCCACCAGTTTTATTAAAGTATAACTGATTTACAAAATGTTTGATATAGGTATACATTGGAAGATGACTAACATATTCATTTCATACCTATTTTGTGGTAAGAACACTTAATATCCACTCACCTTGCAGTTTTCAAATACATTTAGTGCATTACTATTAACTACATAGTTACCATTTTGCACAACAGATCTCCAGAACTTATTTACCCTCTTATTGAAACTTTGTACCCGTTGACCAACATCTCCCTGACCCTCATCCCTCATACACCAATCTACTTCTATCAGTTTTATTTAGATTCCAGATATAAGTGAGATCATGCAGCACTGGTCTTTCTGTGCCTGGGTATTTCACTTAAAATAACATCTTTCCTTCATGTTGTTGCAACCGACAGGGTTACAATGCCTTTGTATACCTGTATAGTATTCCACAGTTCTTTTCATTCACTGATGGACACTTAGGTTGATTTTTTGGTTATTGTAAATAATCCTGCAACAATTGTGGGGGTACAGATACTGCTTTCATTTCCTTTGGATATATCTGATAGTGGGATCGCTGGATCATATGGAAGTTTTATTTTTAATTTGAAGAGGAACCTCCGTACTATTTTCAATAATGGCTGCAATTAGATTCCCACCAACATTCTCCATATCCTTGCCAACAATTGCTGTCTTTCATCTTTATTATATAGACATTCTAACTGGACTGAGGTGATATCATTGTGGTTTTGGTTTATATTTTTCTGATGATGGTGAGATTGAGCATTTTTTCTTATGTATTGGTCATCTGTATGTCCTTTGAGCATTATCTATATCCTTGCTTCTGAGTTGTTTTCTTACTGTGGAGAGGTTTGAGCTCCTTGTCTGTTTTAATATTATTTTAATATATTGTCAGATATTGGAATTGTAAATATTTTCTCCCATTCTTTACCCTGTGGTTTCCTTTGCTCACAGAAGTTTTTAGTTCGATAAAATCCTATTTGTCTATTTTAGCTTTTGGTTGCTTGTGCTTTGGGGATCCTTTTCAAAATCCACTGTCCAGACCAATGTCATGGAGCTTCTCTTCTGCTTACTCTTTTAGTAGTTTTATAGTTTCATGTGTTTTAATCTATTTTGACTTGATTTTTGTATATGGTGTGAGACAAGAGCCTAATCTCATTTTTCTGCAGGTGGGTATCAGCTTTTCAACATCATTTATTGAAGGTACTGTCCTTTATTGAGTGTTGGCAACTTGGTCAAAAAACAATTGATCATAAATGAGTGGACTTACTTCTGGGTCCCTGGTTCTGATCCATTGCTCTGAGCCTGTTTTCATGCCAGTAACATGCTGTTTTGATTACTCAAGCTTTATAGTTGATTTTTGAATCAAGTGGTATAATGTATCACATTCTGTTCTTTTTGCTCAAGATAGCTTTTGTGGTTCTTTATGAATTTTAGATTTTTTCATACTTCTATGAAAAATGTTATTGGAATTTTGATAGGGATAACACTGGATCTGTGGATTTATTTGGGAAATATGGACATTTTAATAATAATTGTCTCAAACCATGAACATCCACTCACCTAGCTTTTCATTTATTTGTATCATCAATTTCTTTCACCAGCATTTCACAGTTTTCTGTGTGCACATCTTCCATGTCCTTGGTTAAACTGCTCCTAAGGTTTTTTGTATTTGGTAGATATTGTGAATAGAATTGTTTTATTGAATTCTTTTTAGATAGCTCATTGTAAATATATAGAAACACTGCTGATTTTATATCCTGAAACTGAATTTGTTTATTCTAAAGAAAATTTTGGTGGAGTCTTCAGGGTTCTCTCCATATAAGATCTTGTCATTTGCAAAAAGACAGTTTTACTTCTTTGTTTCCCACTTGGATGCCTTTCACATCTTTTACTTACCTAACTGCTCTGGATCAGACTTAAGCACTATATGGATTGAAGTGGTAAGAGTGGTGGGCATTTCTATCTTGTTCCCAATCTTAGAGGAAAAGTTTTCAGATATTCACCATTCAGCGATCTATGGGCTTCTCACATATGGACTCTATTAAGTTTAGTTCCATTCCTTCTATAGTTTGAGTATTTTTTATCATGAGATGTTGAATTTTATCAAATGCCTTTTACACATCTATTGAGATGATCTTATGATTTTTATCCTTCACTGTTAACGTGGTATATCACATTTATGGACTATGCATGTGTTAAATGATCCTTGCTTCTCAGGAATCAATCTCATTCAATTATGGGGTATGACACATTTAATATGCTGTTGAATTCAGTATGCTAGTATATTTTGAGGATTTTTGCATCTATGTTCATGAGTGATATTGCCCTTTAATTTTTTGTTTCTCTTTCTGTGGGTAGTGTTGGGGATTGAATCAAGGGTTTCATACATATGAAGCAAGTGTTCTACCATTGAGTTATATCCTGACCCAGTTTTCTTTTCTTGTGGTAATCTTATCTAGCTTTGGTATAAGGGTAATGCTAATCTCATAAAACAAGTTTGGAAGTGTTTCCTCCTCTTAATTTTTTGGAAGAATTTCAGAAGGATTGGTATTAATATTGTTTGAGTGTCAGGTAAAATTCAATAGTAAATCCATCAGGTCCTGAGTTTGTATTACTGATTTAATCTCCTTATCTTTATTGGTCAGTTCAGATTTTCTATTTCTTCTTGATTAGTTTTGGTGGATAGTATGTTTCAGGGAACTTAATCCATTTCTTCTAGGTTATCCAATTTGTTGGTATATAATTGTTCAAAGCAGTATTTTATTGTCCTTTGTATTCCTTTGGTATCAGTATTAATATCATTTATAACTTTTAGTTTATTTTTTAGTGTATATATTTGAAGTGTATAATGTTTTTGATATATGCAGCTCCAGTTGTGTATGTGTTCAGCACCAAAAAACCTAAGCAAATTTTTAGGATACGATATTAACTCATGTTCTCATGTTGTACATTAGCTCTCTAGATTTATTCACCTACAGAAATGCTAATATATATACTTTGACCTACTTCTCCCCATTTCCTTCCCCTCCCTGCCTGTGGTAACTACCACTCTGCTCTCTACTTGCTGTTTCTATTTATTCCACCTTTTTTTCTTTTGATTCTGTATGTAAATGAGAATACATTATATTTCTCATTCTGTGTATGGATTATGTCACTTGGCATAATGCCCTCCAGGTTCATCCATGTTGTCATTGTTCATAATTTGAGTCTTCTTTTTGTTCTTGGTCTAGATACAGATATTTCGGTTTTATCTTTTCAAAACCCCAACTTTTAGTTTCATTTGATTTCTAATTTTCAAATGTCCATTTATTTCTGCTCCAATAATTTCCTTCTGCTGACTTTGGGCTTAGTTTGCTCTCCTTTTTCTAGTTCCTAGAGGTATCAAGCTAGGTTATTTGATATATTCTTTTCTCCCCCTTAATATGTATTTTCCACTAAAAATTTCCCCTAAGAATTGCTTTTACTGCATCCCATATATTTTTGTATGCTGTGTTTAAACTTTCATTTGTCTCCAGAATTTTTTCTTTGATTTATTAGTCATTTAGTAATACACTGCCTAATTTCTACATTTGTTAATTTAAAAATTTTCCTCTGATTTCAAGTTTCATACCACTGTGTTCAGAAAATACATTTGATATATGATTTATTTCAGTCTTCTTAAAATTTCTAAGACTTGTTTTGTGGCCTACCATATAACTCAAGTGTTCTTGAAAACAATGTAGTCTGCAGCAGTTGGATGGGATGTTCTCTATATGTCTGTTTGATCAATTTGGTGAACAGTGGTGTTGTTCATGTGCCCTGTGTCTTCACTATTTGTCTGGATGCCTTTATCCATTGCTAAAACTATGGTACCTACTATTAATGCAATTTATCTCTTTAATTTCATCAATATTTGCTTTACCTATTTAAGTGCTCTGATGGTGGGTGAATAAATATTTATAATTGTTGTATCTTCTTGATCTAGTGACTTATTTATATGATGACTTTCTTTGTCTCTTGTCACAGTGTTAGACTTAAGGTCTATCTTGTCTGATGTGAATATAGCCACTCCTGCTCTCTTGGTTACCACTGGCATGAAAAAAATCTTTGTTCATCCCTTCATGGCCAGCCTCTCTCCTTGGAGCTAAAATTAATCTCTTGTGGGCAGC